CATAGGTGCTTACATAGAATGGTTAGTTAATGAACTAATGATGACTGCTAATAAAATTGACTATAAGGACGCATGTTTACTAATGCTTCCTGTAGATGCAATAACCCACAAGCTAGATAGCCTTGCATATCATTGGAGTCTTTTATTTTTCTCCTGTCGGGTAAGTCTTGCTGAGTACAATCGAGTACTCAGGGTTTTATTCCCCTATTACAGGTGAGCGGAGGATACCTAAAGCTGACTCTTGTATGTGAAAACCTCCTTGTGGGCTTAGAGAGGATTCCTTTCACACTACGACCGTAGTGTTTATTTATAACCCTCACGAAAAGTTTTTATAAGAAAGGATGTAAAATCCGCTAGCATCTCTTGTATAAAAATGTCTTAATGCTCCACCATGTCGTTAAATTAATCCTACTTCCTCTATAACTCTGATAACATTGTTATATTCCGTTGTTATAATAAATGGATGTAATATTCTGGTACCGTAATAAAGTGATGTAAGAAATGACTTAAGAATATTGTAAGCTTTATTCTCTCATTTGTGATCCTGATGGAAAAATGTGGATTCTTGAGTTCTCCCTTGGGGTGTGCTCGACGGAACTGTGTAATTTAGTATCTTCTCTTTGGTACTTAGTGTCTAATGGAAGATAAGTCCTCCTAGGAGTCATTAGATTAGGCAGTTCTACCACACTCGCATCCACAATATGCTCAACAAGAGCATTAATAGCCCTAAAAGCATCGAGTACATGAATTGACCAAGGTAGAAAGTTTGAATCATCATTTTGGAGAAGCACTAGCTCGACTCGTTAAGCGTCGACATCCTTTTCTCAAGGCAGTGAAGTTTTTAGTGAGTCCTTGCTTTGATACCAATTGAAAGGACCGAGGATGTCATCTAGAGGGGGGGGGGTGAATAGACGTTTTTAAAAATTTAACCCTTCAAAATGTGGAAACGATTAGAGTTGGAGTTTAGAAACTCCTAATAAGAGAAATAAACCCCTCACAAGTAAGCCAATAGGGTAAACAAGGTATGTTGAATATGTATACGAGATACAACCCTGCAACCATAGAGTTAAACACAGAGAATGAATAATTTCAGCACAGGTAGGAAATACCGGACGTGTCCGGTATACACGGGCTATGCAAGTCATCTCCCCTCTTTTTCCCTTTCGATCTCTTTTTTTCACTTAGTTGCTGATACCTTTAGGTAACTTGTATACAAGCTCAAGCAACACAAAAGATCATGAATGACAAATGTAAAGAGAGAGATCGAGACATGTGATATGTTTTACCAAAGTTCAGCCTTCGTCGAGACCTACTCTCCATTGAGGGGGGCTACGAGCGACCTAACGAAGGTTAGCTCTAGAGGACAACGAAGGCCACTCTAGCCAGAGTCTTTTCCAACTCCTCTTTCTCCTTCCACTAGTTGATTCCTTCCCTTACGACAGTCAAATCGAACCGTTATAAACTTTCTGAGGCATACCATAAGCTCTTGGGTGCTTTCCAGCGACGCCTAGCCATCTAGGACCGAAGAGTCCAAGAGTAACAAATGCAAATCATAAGATCGACAATATGCACAAGTGCTCAAGGGTGGCTTGCTCTCAAATTTGAATCTCTCTTAACCCATAAGATGGATTTTGCAAGATTGAATCAATCACACACTATGAAAGGGTTGGAGAGTGTTCTCAAGGCTCAAAAACATGTCTAGAAGTCGGCAGAATCAGCAGCCTCCAAATATGGAGGCTAAGAGGTATTTATAGCCCCTTTGAAAAACTAGCCGTTATATGACCGTTGGGCAATACCGGACACGTCCGGTATCAGGTATTGGCTATACACCCCCAACGGTCACTTTGTTAGTGACGTGCGAGACATCAAAATCCCGATGATCGCCGGAACTCTCGACCCCCGGAACTCTCGACTCACGTTGGAACTCCCGACGAGCCAAGCCGAGACAACGAAGAAATTGCTATGACCGGGCAAATACCAGACACGTCCAGTATTGCTAGACCAGTAGAAAACAAGTTAGCTCTTTTGTCTCTCAAACACGCAAATCTCACATGGGTTGGCTTGAGCACTCATGAATGATTATATATCAACATGATGCATCCCTCTTAATAGTACGACATACCTGTTAACTCAAGATCAAATGAAAATAGAGTTTGAAGCGCTTGAGTTGAATTTCCTTGAACCAAAATGGCATAGCCTTCAATCTTGATCAAGTGAGGGTGTCAACATGTCGATTTTGATTTTATCCTTGAGCATTTCCATCTTGAACATTTGACTTGATTCCATTCAACATATAAGAGTTGGCTTCAAAGATATCAAGTCATCCCTTTATAAAGTCACTTAGGATTTGATTCTTCACTTCAATATGACCAACATTATTTGATTGGTGCCTTGACTAAATGCAAGTACTTCCTTCTTCACCCTAGCTAGGTTTCTCGATCGCCAAGCCGTCGCTTGCCCTTTACCCTTGCTTAGTATCTCAAATTTTTTCCTTGCTATCTTCACCATCTCAAGCAATCTAGTCGAATCATTCATTAAGTTTGTTTGTATACTTATCTTTCATATAGCAAGCTTGAGACCATTCCATATGCAATCCTTCTTGTCTCATTAATTATTTTTCAACATGCCTGCTTTCATATGAGTTATCAAAATCCCACAATAAATAAATCTTATATGAATTATATTTGCATTGTTGTCTTGTGTTTGAACTAGATTGTTTCCAACAATACATCATTTGGACTTTCATTAAATATATGTGAGATAACCTATTTCCTGTCCACACTTAACAAACAGGTTAGACCTTTAATCACGTTGTCATTCAATCATCCAAAACCCACTAAAGGGCTAGATGCACTTTCAAACTGTCCCTTTTTGTGATTGATGACAACTTGATTAAAGCTTACAAAAGGATATAAACATTTAAACTTTTGGGTTCAATGATTTATGAGAGGCTCCCCTTAATATGTGCTTATGAATAGAATTCACAAAAATGACCTCAAATATCAAATGCACATATTAAGGCACATAGAAGACTCCCCCTAAATCATTGTATCCGTGGGGTGTAAGTGTGTGTGACAAAATAAAATCGTGATGTATATGACAAGATAAATCACACAAGAATAAATATAAAAACATCACATCAAACATTTTCATTCTAACATGCATGATCCTTATGAAAATAAATACAACACAAGTATATCACACATAGCACTCATTACATATTTTCTCAAGTCCACAAACCACTAAGATAGATTATGTTACAAGATAAGGATCATGTCACATGAGTCTCAGAGGATACATCCATTAAGTACAAGTCTCATCATAAACATGATATGAAGATAAATCTCACATAATATGTCTCAACTCAAATAGATACATCAATAAAGCTCACAAACTACAGCTGCAGTACATATCTCCAGGTACAAAGATCAGAAATAAAACAAACATCCTGAAGCTTTTAATCAGTCTCTCTCCCCCTTTATCATCTATCACCACAAGGCTGTTTGGGGTGGGCGGACGGCGAGGTGAGCCGCGACGAGCGAAGCGAGGAGTTGGGAATTTTTGTCGTTGTCACAATGTAGATGGAGTAGATAAAAGAGAGTGTAGATGGGCCTATTGGTCCCGGGTTCTTCTCCGGACAAACACGCTTGGACGGACGCCCGGACCAGAGTATTAGCGCAAAAATATTTGAACTAGCGGGAGAAGAAGAGTTATTTTTTCTATAGTAAAGTGAATACATAAACGAATAAAGAACATCTTCTTGAGAGCAGGAGTCGTTGTCTAACTTTTACCTGAGGTGCCCTAAGGTCGATTTCGATTTTCCCCCTTTGTGCTCGTACAAAGGCCAACCCTGAAACCATCGTCCAGATAAGAAGACGAAGTTTGAGAGACTGTCTTCTTCTCTAAAGTCTGAACTTTGGTCTTGTTTAAATACAGGGCGTAAAGTTTTGGGGTGTCACATCGGATATCACATGGGGGTGTCGCATGTGATGTTCGGATACTAATAAAAAACTAAATTACATAATCCGTCAGTAATCCGCGAGATGAATTTATTAAGTCTAATTAATCCATCATTAACGCATGTGTGTACTGTAGCATCGTATTGTCAAATCATGGACTAATTAAGCTTAAAAGATTCATTTCGCAAATTAGTTGCAAACTGTGCAATTAGTTATTTTTTAATCTATATTTAATACTCTATGCATGTGTCAAACCTTCGACAGGATAGAAAGTAAACTTAATCGCTGAAGTCTGAAACGCTCAACTGTCCCGAAGAAGAGAGTACATTGCCCTGTTTGTTTCCGCCTAGTGCGTCTGCGACCGGCAGAAGCCGATGATCTCGACCAATGGGTTGCGTCGTGTCGCTTACCATAATTGCGCGTCCGCGAACAAGCTCAGGTTTGACCTACGGTGAAATCGTAGCTCCAATGTCACGATTTAGAGGGTGTTTGGATCCGGTGACTAAAATTTAGGAGGTGTTACGTGAGGGCGTCGCATGGGGTGTTCAGATACTAATAAAACAACAAATTACAGAATCCGTCAATACTCCACGGGACGATTTTATTAAGCATAACTAATCCGGCATTAACATATGTTACTGTAGCACTACATTGTCAAATCATAGACTAATTAGACTTAAAAGATTCGTCTCCCAAATTAATGGTAAGCGCAATTAGTTTCATAATTACTATTTATTTAATATTAATTGCATTTGTCAAACATATGATACCAACCACCCCCTTATATAATGGGCTCCGCGTTCTCCTTCTACCTCATCGGCACTCTCGCTCCCTCTCATCGAACACGCCGGCGCCGCCCGCTGCTCGACCCTCCGCTCCTCCCGTCTACAGGCGAGTCTGCCCCTTCCTCAGCTCGCGTCCCCGTCTGTTCGAGTCGCCTGGCGGCACCGCCGCTCCCCTCCGCGCGAGCCGCCGGCGGGCCGTCTCTGCGCGCGTTCCTCCCCTGCGCGAGCCGGCGAGAGCTCGAGTCGCTCCTCATCTATGCTACGCGTCGTCGTCTCCCCCCTCCCCGCCCTCCACCCGCTCCTCCGGCGTGGGCCTCTGCTAAACCATAAACCCCTGCTCCGCTCGCGCCTTCAGCCGTGGCCGTTCCGCGCGCTCTCGTCCCCCGCCGACGCTGCCAGCGCGCCCAGCGCAGCGGTGAAGGGGGAGGCGGTTGCGTTGGAGGAGCACCTTACGCGGTGCGCGGCGGCGTGCAGGGCGCCGTTGCGAGTGGCGGTGCTGGTGAGCGGCGGGGTGGACAGCAGCGTCGCGCTCCGCCTCCTCCACGCCGCCGGCTATCATTGCACCGCGTTCTACCTGAAGATTTGGTTCCAGGTGTGCGGTTCAGGAAAATCACCTGTTTACCATTAAGCTTCTCCTGCAATGCTATGCTTCAGGATGCCTCATAAACTTGCTCCTCTAATTTGTAGGAAGATTTCAGGAACTTTTGGTCCGAGTGCCCATGGGACGAGGATTTAAAGTATGCACAAGCTGTTTGTGACAAGGTGTAGTTCAAATTTCTGATGGAACATGTCATGCCATTGAATAGCTAGTCTTCAGCATATGTACGTGGACTGATTTTGGTTACATGGACCGACTTGAGGGCCTGATGATGTCTCATGTTTGGTTTTGTAGATTGATGTGCCATTGGAGGTGGTACATCTATCTGATGAATACTGGAACCATGTGGTGAGTAAGCTTCATTTGAGCCTTTTTTCCCCATAGATTTGTACCCAACACTCTTCAGGGCCTTTGTTTTAAGAAGCAAATACTGTGAATTTGATATCTAGGTGTCACATATGATCAATGAGTATCGCTGCGGTCGTACACCAAATCCTGATGTTCTGTGCAACACGAGAATAAAGTTTGGTATGAAGTTTGTATTTGGATGGCGATACGTTCTACTATGGAAATCCAAATTTGATTGAGGTGCAGTTTTCTAACTATGATGTCTTGCTTATTTCTGTTTGGGCAGGGGCTTTCTTAGAAGCTATTGAAAATTTGGGATTTGATTATATAGCTTCAGGACATTATGCACGCGTAGTACATCCTTCCGCTGAAAATACTGAAGCGCCATACGTACTGCAATTATCAAAGGACAAGGTACTTTGCACATTCCCTCTCAGATAGATCATTTTATTTCTACAGAGTCATCAGCAGTACAAGTTTACCTTTTCCTTCTTCAAACTAATCGGGAATTCAGATTAGAAATAGTTACATAGTTGAATTGCTAATTTGCTTTGGTACTGTCATATAAATCACCTTTTCTGTTGTTTAATTGCTATTCCAGGTCAAAGATCAAACCTATTTCCTCTCACATCTATCTCAATCTCAGCTTAGAAGGCTTCTTTTCCCACTAGGATGTATTACGAAGGTTTGGTCGATTTTCAGCAAACATAGCTAGTATTTCATAGGCGGAATGCCACAAGTTGACTTTACTAAATTTTGTCCTGTATCATGCAGGACGAGGTTCGCAGACTGGCTACTCAAATGGGCCTTCCTAACCAAGGTAGGAAGGACTCACAAGGGATATGCTTTCTTGGAAAGGTATACAATGTACCTTTTTTCTTAGGGATCAATGTTTTTAACAAATCATATCATTGTGGAGCTATACAAGTATCTCTTTCTAGGTCAAGTTTAGTGAGTTTGTTGAAAGACATATAGGAGAAATGGAAGGAATCATACTGGAAGCTGAGTCTGGAGATTACCTAGGGAAACACCGTGGGTTTTGGTTCTATACAATTGGTCAGCGGCAAGGATTACGGCTTCCTGGAGGACCTTGGTATGTACTGTCTTTTGATGCATTCTCTACAATCTCTTGTCCAGTGATTATCATTGTTTCGCCCTACTGTTTGCTCTTGCAGTGGGGCAACGTTTTTCCTTCATCATATAAACTAGATAATACCCCACGCGTTGCTGCATGATTTTTTTAGTGTTAAAAAAGAGGATTCATAGTGTGAGAAATAGTGAAACTCTAAAAGAAAATATGCACATGTTCATGTACACCATCTCCATATGGGATCCTGAGCATCCATGGCAACCGTATGCTGTTCCTTCGGCCATTCATAGGGCATCCTGACTCGGACTGTATGGATGAACATGCAAGAAAGCTGGTGTGTTATTGTTGAGAGTTTCAGACCCCGTGCATTCGTGATATTACGCAAGAAAACCCGCAGAGCGGCCATCAATTTGTTCACGGAAGGCTTCCTCCAGGGACTTGATCCTGATCACATAGACCATGTTTGTACTGCTTAAAAGAGAATCGATTTTAATTTGATCAAAATTTTCTATTAAGTTGTGGTCTAAAGAATTCAGATGTTTAGCGGTCCTAATTATTTTCTCATGGATTCTCTATCCATAGTGTAAAATAACTTATGTGCCCCTAGGTTGATAATAGATTATTTGTTGATTGAATATTAGCTAAAAGCAATCATGGTAATATTTTTCTAATTGTTGCACAACATAACATAAATAGAATTTAGAATTTGTTTTGCACCTACGTTAACTTATTATATAGGGGACCACTTTATATAATAAAGAAAATCAACCTTATCCAAACTGCCGACTCTCACCATCAATATCCAATCTCCAAGGCCGCAGCGACGCGTTCAGTTCTCCCTTCCGTTCTCTCTCCCCAATAGCAACTATCCTCCACCATGGCCGTCCCTAATAACCATTGTTGTGCGACTTCTCGTGATGAAGGAGCTTTCTCACAACTGGTTTGATGGTCTGCTACAGGGCAGCGGCACCTCAGATTTTAGGTAGCGCCGGTGCCGGGAAAGGAGGCCCAACTCAACATCGGATTCCGGAGCTTCATCGATCTCCTCTGCAGGCGGCGCCGGCGTCGGGGAAGGAGGCCTGACTCTTGTAGACATAGGATTCTGTAGCTTCATCGATCTCCTCTGCAGGCTCGCGTGGTCGAGCGGGGCGACCTGCTGAGCGGGAGGCCAGTGGGAGCGAGTGAGCGACAGGGCGGCTTGCTGAGCAGGACTGCAGGAGGGCAGCATGGGAGCGGACTGAGCAGCCGACTGCAGGAGGGCAGCATGGGAGCGGACGGCCTGCCGAGCAAGAGCCAGGAATGATAAGAAAGATTGGACTGGGTAGGCGCGTGGCGTTTCAAATCAGCATCGATGTGCTCCGGCTGATGCAAATCAGCATGCATGCATGATTCGGTGGAGTTATTTATAAGAAAGATTGGACTGTGAGCGTAGGCCGGATGATACCTGATGACGTTTCAAATCAGCATTCACGTGTGATGGCTGATGGCGTTTCAAATCAGCATGCATGCATGATGGCTAGTGGAGCGCAGGAGGCAGGATCGGTGGAGTCATGAGAAGCACAAGCGACAGGGAGTGCCGAAGTGGTGAGCGAGTGATGGATGATACCTGATGACGTGGCTTCATGACAAGCTAGAAAAAATACCTAGTGGCTTTATTCGTCCTGAAACTCATCTGACTAAAGGCCTTTCATATCTCGTGCAGGTACGTTGTAGAGAAAGATGTTCAAAACAATGTGGTTTTTGTATCAAGGAATTACTATTCATTGGATAAGCGGAGGCGCACATTTCGTGTTGGATCACTAAATTGGTTTGACAATTCTGGACCTGGAAACAACGAGCAACTTAAATGCAAGGTAACAGGGTACTACATACAGTAGCCTCAAGGGCACTATGATACTTGGTTATTAGCCTTTCCTATTTGGTATCATTCTGTTATAACCATCTGCTATTTACAAGCTACAACAGTGGTTTTGCATAAATATGGCTTCAATATGCTGATAAGAGTTCTAGTTGACTGATCAATTTTGATTGATCGAAACATTGATATCCCAGGTTTAAGGGGGAAAGGAAACCCATATGAGGCAATCATCTTACATCATCTAGGAAGTAAGAAGTAGTTGCAAGAGAAAACATATAAGCTAAACACCTACACTAAAACAATAGCATGACCCAACCAGAAAACCCCTAGCACCGGCCACAGAGGCATCCAGCGCACCCTCCACCTGCCTCCGCGCTAACTTCCATGTTCCCGGCGACAAGGCGTTGGTGCAGGCAATTGTGGGGTGCGCCAGCACAACAAAACTGGCCATCTGCACCCTGCCGGCCTGTTTCAGCCCCTGTCTGTTCCGCTTATGATCTGGAGCGACGTCGCCATGGAATTCGTCGAAGGCTTGCCTCACATGAACAACAAGACGGTGATCCTCACGGTGGTGGATTGGCTCTCCAAGGCAGCACATTTCAATCCCCCTCAGCCACCCCTACACGGCTATCACGGTGGTGCGCGCCTTCTTCGACGAAATTGTGTGGCTGCACAGTGTCCCTGCCTCCATCGTCGGTGACCGCGACCCAGTATTCTATAAGTATTCACGACCACCCTCTTTTTTTGTGTGTAATATTCACGAGATTAAGCTGCAGATGTGCTCGGCGTTTCATCCCCAATCGGATGGCCAATCTGAGGTAGCTAACAAGTGATTGTGATGTATCTCTGGTGCTTGACCAGTGACCGCCCCAAGAGTGGCTGTGGTGGCTGCCATGGGCAGAGTACTGCTTCAACATGACCTTCCGTTCGTCGCTCGGCACTACTCCGTTCAAGCTGGTCTATGGCCGGGATCCGCCATCCATGAAGGCGTATGAACCGGGCAATGCTCGCGCCCCCGCCGTCGACCCGCTCCTTCAGGACCGCGACGACTTCCTGCTGGCCGCACGCGAATGCCTTCTCCAAGCTCAGGATCACGCCAAGCTGTACTACGACGCCAAGCACACTCCTCTGGAGTTTGAGGTGAGCGCCTGGGTGTGGGTCAAGCTCCTTTACCGCCCATCTGCATCCCTTCCGGCGGCAACCAAGGGGAAGCTGGCACCGCGCTTCTACGGGCTTTACCAGATCCTGGAACTGATCGGTGACGTCGCGTACCGTGTACGCCTGCCCGCCAGCGCCCGGATTCGCAATGTTTTCCACGTCGGCGTCCTCAAAGCCTTCCGTGGCACACCACCAGCCGAGGCCCCTCCTCTGCCGCCAATGCTCAACGGCCACGTCATGCCTATACCGTCTGCTATGCTGCGCAGCCGTCTGGTACGGGGCCGATGGCAGATTCTGGTCTCCTGGGCCGGCCTGGCAGCCAGTGAAGCTACTTGGGAGCCTGTTGCAGCGTTCAAGCAGCAGTATCCTTCTTTCGAGCTCTAGGACGAGCTCTTTCTGGAGGAGGGGAGAGATGTTATGGTAGGAAATACCTACAGGCGCCGTCAGAGGGCCAAGACAGGCGCCTAAACACTAGCAGCAAGATCAGAGGAGAGTGATTGGGTGCTTGCTGCTTTTGGCAGTCAAGAGTTTAGGAAGGAAGACAACAAATTGCTTGTAATCACTATATATATATATATAGTGTATGATCAAGGGAATAAAGCAAGCAAATGACAATCAATCTACACTCATGTCCATTCTCTATTGCCTCATCCCCTGCTGATTGTTCTTCATAGCCTCACCACGGGATGGAAGCCAGCAGCCGAACGGCAGCAACCTCCCATAGCTGTCCTATACGATCACCCCCCCCCCCAAACAACACATCAACACAGTGGTCCTTGCCTCTCCATCTCCCGCTTATGCTATTGTTTGGATAAACTCAATCCCTCCCAATCCATATGGATTGGAGTGGAAAGTGAACTACTTTTCAATCCCTTCCAAGGATTGAACGGAACTGCTATGTTTCCAAACAAAAGCCCACACAATTTATATCTCTGCCAGAGTGAGGACCAGCTCAGTCCTTGTCTCCTTGAGGTAGAAGCTGAAGCCCTCTCTTGCGGCGAAGTTGCCGCACACACTACAACTATCAGAGATCAATTTCCTCTCAGACAACCAGACGATGGTTTCCCTCCTTAATCAGAGGCAGAACTGGACAGTGCCTCACTGGAGGCTCTTTCCATCTATCGGGGAATTCAAACACCATACTTCAGAAACAACATGCAAAGTCTTCAAGGTCCATAGAAGCCAGAACAGTTCTGCACACATTCTAGTGCATCAGGCAAGGAACACATGGCATTCCTCCACTATTTTCTCGTGTATCAATTCCCTGCACATTACTGGATGTCCAGTTCAGCAGGCTCTCTGATGTATCCTGGGTCCCCTTATACCTAATCCATGTAAGATGCTCCTAATATAATTTTAAGTCCTTATAAAAAAAACTAAGCACGTTGTGTTTCATTCAAGACATCAACTTTATATGTTGAGATTTGTAGTTTTTTCCTGTGTAAAATTATGCCTTCTCTTCCTGTGCTAATATGAAATTTCTCAACATCAGGTGCGGCATAGCCCTGAATTTCACGATTGCACTTTGATAAAAGAGCATACGGAAGAAAATGAGGATGCTTTGGTGGTGCATCTGTCCGAAGATGACCAGGGCTTAGCAGGTGGTCAGTTTGCAGCGTTCTATAGTGAAAATTCATGCCTGGGATCAGGCATCATTTTGGATTCATGGGACAAGATGAGCTTCCCTGTCTGCTCAAGGGCACTCGAAATCGCTAAATTGGAGGACAAATCGAGCTTAGGGAAGCCAGTAAGAATCCTGAACTTGGAACATGTCGTGAAGCCAGAAAAACAGGAGGAAATCAAAGTTGCCTGCCAAATTGTTGCCATATAATTCAACCCCGCCCCTCTTAGGTGTCACTGTCCTTTCATGGACAAGGTGGGCAATTCACTCGATTTCCTTACAAGAAATCTACTGGTTATAGATGAGTAGCTTTTGAGTAGTGTTAGAATTTATAATTTATAGATCTACAAATTATTTTGCTTTTCTAAACAAATTCTTGATTTTTTATAATTGTCTTTTTCTAGATGTGATTCTTTTTGTAAGTTGGTATCGATGTGTCGTTACCACGATCTATATTCCTTGTGATTCATCCTGTTGAGTTGTGCTTATGATGCTTGTGGATGGCGACTCCAGGGGTTCCTGAAGTTAATCGGCTTAAGCCGAGTTGGTCAGGAGGATGACACTTATTTTAGGTTGACTAACCCACGAGGCCCTCACAAGACTTGTCTTTGTTGATAGATTACTCCAAGCAATCTTCGTGGAGAGAGAATATTTTCTAGATGGTTTGCACTTCGTCCATCTATTGTTAGGAAGTAGAAAAGAGGAATCTTCGCCTACTCGCGGCCGTCGATTTCGATGAAGATGGCCAACTTGAGCCTGGATCGAGCTGTAAGTTACCGGATCAATCTCCACCCTGCAGCAATCAAGCTGCTCGCCTGTGGTTCTTGGCTCCCCTGGCTGCTCTAATATCGTCGCTACAGCGCTATCCCTTTCGTAACCCACCCTTCCCACTAGGATAGATTTGATGGGATGAGAGGCTATCCTATCCCAAACCTAAACTCTCATTGTATCACAATCCAACGGACCAAACATGAGCTTTTTTTTTTTGAATCGTAGACCCTCTCCCAATGGCGGCAGGCGGGGCTTTTGCACAAACCCCCTCCGGACAGCTGCCTATGTTGGTTTGATCTCCCAACCACAGTGGCCCAACGGCCACTTGGGCCTTGACCTCGCGCCTCGATCGGGGCGCCCGGTCCATCTATGGTCAAGGCGGGCCCCATCACATCACAGATTAAATAGAGGTGGGGTCGGCGGCTCTCGACGAGGTTCGCTTTGAGCCAGACGCCCCCACCTAGAAACCCTACTCCGATCTATGAGAGGCGCAACAATGGCAGAAGCACTGCCGCCCCATCAAGCATCAAGCGCCACCACCACGTCTTCACCACTTCTCGACCGTCATTGCCATGTGCGAGATCTTCATCTTAACCAAATAAAGGCGAGGAGCTCCTTCGACGATCGATGCTCCTACTCTCTCTCTCTCTCCTACTCCCAAAGGAAGCTCTAGGTGTATTTGATTCAACTGATAAAGAAATCACCACTGGATCCGCACCTAGATGATCCAAACTATTTAACATCGGTATCGAGCCGCTTTCCTAGGCGTGGATCTTGTCAGGGGCGCGAAACCGATTAGAAAAGAAAAGATAGGTTAGATCCGGTTCGGATCGAAAGAAAAGAAATACAGAGGGTTCATCGAACCCTAAACCCTATTCGGGTGATAGAAAGAAAAAGAAGGAAGGGGATTAGAATTGATTCGTATTACCCTCCTAAAGAACCCTAACCGTAAAAGAAATTGGACGGTGCAGGGAAGGTTTCCCCACTAAAGTCACTACCGCCTCTCACTGGGATGGAGCACCCTTTTGGTTTGTTGACGCCAGGAAGAGATGGATTAAATCCTTTCGGATCTGAGCATATAGACTAGGGTTTTCACTAACCCTAACCCTAACTGGGTGAAGTTGGAAGGGGCTCGGCTTCAAGACTGCTTGATCCGAACCCTAAACCCGCGACCAGATCTCGGGGAAAGAAATAGAAAGAAAAGAGAGAAGAAGGTGATTCAAATCAATTCGAAATTTCACCAAACCCTAACCCTAGAATTCCCAAATCCCAAAGAAAGATGAGAACGAACACGGTGGTCCTACCTAGGCCTTCATCCATTGCCACGCATTCGCCACCGTGGGGAAAAAAAGACTACGGCGTCGATCTCTCATGGCGTGAAGGGGAAGACGGCCGAGCTACGCCACCGCTGCTGCTCGATCGCAAAAAGGGCACCACTGGTTTCTCTCGACGGTGCCTGCATGTTCTAGCCGCACGCTGTCGTCGGTCGAGGAGGTGCCATGCTGGCGCCGCCATCTCCATTCCTCCTCTGACGCCATGCGCGGTCACCGGTCGCACTTTCAGCGAGATGAAAGAGAAGGGGAGGGAGAGAATGAGCCTAGGGTTATAGGGGGAAGCGCCGACTCGGTGGTTTTGTTCGCCCTAGATGCACGCTCGGTCGTCGGATGCGCACGGACGACCGAGATCTAGCGGGCTGCATCGCGGCCCAGGCGGGGGGCGCGGCCGCGGCGCTTTGCCGGCCCAGAAGGTCTCAAAGAATAAGAAAATTAGATATTTCTGGCGACTAAGAAGTCAATGTTAAGAAAGAAATTCAAATAAAGGATAATTTCACCTCATTTGAAAAAGCCATGAGAGGCGTTCACTCGTCTAAATGGCAAGAAGCAAAGGAAGATGAAATGAAATCGATAAATACCAACGATGTTTGGGACTTAGAAGTAATTCCCAATGGAGCCAACACAGTAGGCTGTAATGGGTCTACAAGACAAATGTGACTCCAAAGGAAATATGAAATGCTATAAAGCGCCACTTGTGGCAAAATGATTTATACAAAGAGAAGGAATAGATTATAATAAGCTTGCAAGGATTCTTTTATAATCATAATGGTATTAGTGGCACATTATAATTTACAGTTACATCAGAAGGATGTAAAGACACATTCCTCAACGAGGATTTGTATGGAAACGTTTACATGGCATAACTCAAAAGATTTTGTCGTGGAAGGAAAAGAACGTAAAGGGATGTTGCCTAAAGAAATCCATTTATGGATTAAAGCAAGCTTCAAGACAAAGCTTGAAGTTTGACAAAGACAATAAGAAAGTTTGGGTTTTAAAGAGAATATAGAGGACAATTGTATTTATGCAAAGTTTAAACATGGGAAATTTATTTTCCTAATCCTGCATGTGGGTAGCGCCTTACTCGCTAGTAGTGGTGTTAATCTACTGTTGGAGAAGAAGCAGTTCTTGTCCTCAAGTTTCAATGAGAATGGTCTTGGTAAAGCATCATTCGTTCCAAGAATTAGAACTTGCCGAGATAAAAAGAAAAGGGGTATTAGAACTATCTCAAATGTATACTTAGAGAAGATTCTAAAGAAATAAAGTATATATGTGAATAAACCTGCGCCTGTTCCTATAGTCAAGGGTAATAGTTTTTTGGAACTTTCAGTGTTCCAAGAATAAATGTGAGATCGATCAAATGGACGTCCTATATGCTTCAGCTGTTGGAAGCTTACTGAATGCTTATAAGCAAGAACTTACCCTGACACAATTTATGTATCCGGGATGTTATTGGCAGAAGTCCAGTCCAGATATAGATCACTGGAATGGAGTTGAAAATATTTTGCAATTGTGCAAAGATTTATAGGCCTCATGGTAAGTAAGAAAGAATAAGTACTCTCAAATAGTTGTGGGTACAAATGTTAAATTTTGGCGAGATGTTTAGCGAAACCCACATAGTAGCTAACACTCGTAGTTGGAGTTTTATTGTGGAAAAGCTCCAAAGAAATAGTTGTGGTGTCATCGAAGATGCATACCCATGGTATAGCTTGTTATGAGGCTTAAGGACAGGTGAAGTGGTTAAAAGAACTTACACCCGGAATTGATAATGGTATACAACAGCAATAACCATTTAAGTAGTTCGCTCCTATAACAATAGGTCAAGTGTGTTGCCAAACACATTGACGTTAAAGTTGTACGTTGTGAAGGAGAAAGTCCGGAATCATACTAAAAGTATTGAACATATAAGTAACAAGCAAGTGCTTGCGGATCCGCGTACAAAAGGCTTATCTCCCAGTGTGTTTGGAGAACACACAGTCGACATGGGTTTATGGTATAGCCTATGATTTCTGGACAACAAAGGGTCCAAAGTTAAAGAATCTGTTTCAGAACAGAGATGTGTATTGTAGCTGTTAAGTCTATCGGCGATTGACCGTGACGATGAAGCATGCTCTATGCACTAATCTGTGATGGAACAAATAAAAGTGAAAATGATTAAAGTCAAAGCTTAAAGTTAAAGTATGAGTTGAGATCAAGGGGGAGAATGTTGGTTTGATCTTCCAACCATAGTGGCCCAACGGCCACTTGGACCTTGACCTCGCGCCCTGATCAGGGGCGTCCAGTCCATCTATGGCTGGCGGGCCCCGTCACACTGCGTATTAAATAGAGGTGGGATCGACGGCTCTCAGTACGAGGTTCACCTAAGCCGTACGCCCCACCTAGAAACCCTACTCCGATCTAACAGAGGGGTGCAGCCAGTGACGAGAAGCACCGCCGCCGCCACTGCACTGCGCCACTACGGTCTTCACCGCTACTCCGACCGTCGCTGCCATGTGCAGATCTTCATCGACGAACCAGCGAAGGCAGGGAGCTCCTCCGATGGTCAGATGCTCCTACTCTCTCTGTCTCCTACTTCCAAAGAAAGCTCTAGGTGTATTTGATTCAACTGATAAAAAAAATCACCCACTGGATCTGTATGTAGATTTTCCAAACTATTTAACAGCCTAATCTTAGAGCCAGGCTCGGCGGAAACGCCAAGGGGCAGAGAAGCTTCTCCTGCCTGGACCCGGTTGCCCGCCGTCGTCGCAACGTCAAGTGTATAATTAGCAGGCGCAGCGCGACGGGGCAACAGCCAACGCCGAGGAATAGACAAGAGGGCACGCTGTCGTCCTCTTCCCCCCTCCCCTCGTCGCGTTGGTGCTCGCTCGGTTTCTGGGTTTTTGGCCGGAGGCTGGGAGGATCTGATTCCTTCCGAGCTGGGTCGCCGTTGCTGGGAGCTGCGTCAAGGAATCGGGGGTCGCCCCGCTCCCGCCGCCGCGTGGAACTCGATCCTGGAGGAGGTGAGCTTCCACCTGTCCTGTTGCCTCCCCTGCAAGTTGTCTTTGTGCCGCTGGCCTTTGTTCCTCCCTCCCTCCCCCCACTCCTCTAATTTCTATTTGTGCCCGTGTGTGCATGCATGGTTCTTCAATTTCTTCTTCTTTCTTATTTCTTCTATCAGTCAAGAACTGGATAGGTAATCCCTTTGTGGTAGGTGCTGAATTTGGCCTCGAGCCAGCGGTGTATCTGCGTTTCCGTCCTTTCTTACCGGCGGCTGCTCTGCTGGTGCGTCGGTGATACAACCCAGCTCAACTGCGGTGGTGGTGGCCAGTGGCCTGGTGGGTGCTCGGTTTTGCGATTTGATGCTGGCCCGTCCAGTCGACAGCTGAAATAAAGCGCGTTCAATTCTAATTTCTATTGCCATATCAAATTTGACGCAACGGTGATCTTGGATTGCCCCTTCTTCGCCTGGCCTCATGTCCCGTCTCAAGCCATGGCCTAATTCTGGTTTGTTCATGGTCAATCCTGCAGCCTGTTTTTCATCTGTTTGGTTTTAAGTGTCAGGAATTACATAACCCAGTTTAAGCACGGGAATTATTTAAAGCAACTTCATTTTCTTTTTTTAAAACAATCTTCTTTTTCTTTTCTTTTTTAACAACTACTTGGCCTCCTACAATCGTAGGTAGGAGTATTTTACAGCGCATTCACACCATTTAGTCTAATTTAATCACACCATTTCGTCCTTTTGGCGCGCCTAAAAAAAAGAATAGAACTTTCGGTAAAGCAACAACGAATTGATTCCGGTGGTGATACCAACATGTCCTGAAAACGAGTGGTTGACCTGCACTCGCTACCAGCAGCAGTGCAAGTAATCTTCGTTGAAATCCAGTCCGTATTTCTAGCTCTCTTTTAGCTTCAGCGATCGGCTACCAAATCGCGTCCGACCGTCAAGGTCACGCAAACATGCGTTGCTCGTCAGTTATTACCAGCATAACGTGGGTTATTATTTAGTCTTGTCTGAATAATGGCTGGCTCTGATCAACTCTGGCCTGGTCAAAGCCTGCCTGTTGACCACGCTCCTTTTTCTGCAACTGCAACCTGGCAGGCCGGGCACCGCAGCTTACACACAGTTTCCTTCTCGTAGTACACGAACAAGTGTGTTTTCACGCATGCTGATTGCTCTGTCTTCGAAATTAACACTAATATAAAAGCCTGATTGATCAGCTAAGGATAATTGTTAATTAGAATTCCCCCTTTTCATTGTCTCTTGGGACTAAATTCCCGCTTTGCTCCCTACTTTAGTTTGTCTATTTGCATTGTCACCCACTGACAGCTTTTACTTTTTTTTACCCTCCTTTTTCTGCATCCGGGGGCTCTTTAATGGGGGAGTTGTCTGCCCTTTTGCTGAGCACGTATTTTTATGGGCTCTTTATTCTTTATTATAAGCTGTAGTTACTCAGCTGATGGGTTACCAAACCACGGCATACAATCCGGAGCGTTTTTCCCTTAGCGCGTGTTTATTGGACCAAACCACGGCATACATCGAATCCGAAGCGTTAAATTTAATTGCCCTTTACGATTTTGAGCTTTAATGGGGAAATTACAAATAAAACTTAGCCCTAAATTCGAAGTTCCTGAAACTAAACACGTGCTTAATTCTTTAATGGGGGAAATTCATCTTGTCTGCACGCTCTGGTAACTGCAAACCAAATGCAGTGCCTTCAAATTCTCCTTCCCAATTTCACTAGAGAGACCGAGAACATCGCATTAGCTTTATCCAAGGCCAAAAAAAGGTCATCTTCTCGCAAGGAAACTGCATGCTTGTTTTGTACTCTGAAGTTTGGCTGGCATATTCTCATGATTCTTTGCCCAATCTCTACTTCATTCCAGCTGTACCTGTAGACTTCCAGTCCTCTGCTACCTACAAAATGTCAGGTACATATTCACACTATCTCATTTATCTTTGTGACAATATAGCAGCTAGTGTTCATCCAAATGACTAACTTTCATTCTCTCGTTCTTTCTGAAGTGCGCCGTCGGTCAGCAAGCATGGAAGGGCTGCTCATGCTTGATGACAGGAAAGAACGGAGATCAGATGTGGACAACTCAGAGGACGAGCGAAGGCGGCTATCGATCGGGTCACTGAAGAAAAAGGCACTGAATGCATCAAACAAGCTCACACATTCACTCAAGAAGAGGGGAAAAAGAAAGGTGGAGCATCGGGCATCATCCTTCACAATCGAAGATGTCAGGGATGAGCAAGAGGAGCGAGCCGTCTTTACCTTCCAGCAAGAACTTCTGAACAGGAACTTGCTGCCTGACAAGCATAATGATTATCACTTGTTGCTGAGGTTTGTGCACTATGAATACTGTACACACCAAAAGCTACAAAAGCAGATATAGCTCCTATCAATTTGCAGCATAAGAATATGACAATTGGAATTCCACATTCTTTGAATCCCTGCAGGTTTTTTAAGGCTAGAAAATTTGACACTGAGAAAGCGATCCATATGTGGGCTGAGATGCTCCAGTGGAGGAAAGAGTTTGGAGCAGATACAATACTAGAGGTGAGCTTCTAGTAGCTTTTTGTTGTTAGCTTTGTATTTGTTTTGATGGTTGTCATTGCTCGATGCTCTGAGGTCTCATTACTTTTTTGTTCATCTTCTTTTTAATATAATTGGCAGCTCTCCTGCCCTGTTCGTTTGATAAGAAAACAAAAATACTAGAGATGAGGCTAATGCTTTTGGGTTAGTTGGTACAATAACATTATAACCATACAATTCTGGCTACGATTTTTTATTGGTTCATAGGTTGCATAGTGTTAGTGTAGGAAATGCCTGTCACCATCTTCGACTAGCTGTTTTTGACATGCAAGTGATAAATGGTGCTAATGTCTTTATTTGCAGACCTGCATCTCTAATCTCAAAAGCGCATTCGGTCAAAAAAAAATCTCAAATGCGCCCTTTATGTTTCATGAATCGTGAAAAGCTATAACTGATGCTTATCAATTGCAACTAAATCCTGCAGGACTTCAGTTTTGAAGAGCTAGATGATGTGCTATGCTATTATCCTCAGGGCTACCATGGAGTTGACCGGCACGGAAGACCAGTATACATTGAGAGATTAGGGAAAGTGGAACCAAATAAATTGATGCACATTACTACGGTTGATCGCTACATGAAGTATCATGTGCAAGAGTTTGAAAGAGCCTTCAGGGACAGGTTTCCTGCATGCTCTATTGCAGCAAAAAGACATATCGATTCTACAACTACTATACTAGATGTCGATGGTGTGGTATGATGATTCTTCTCATATTTGATGGGTTTTATCTCTTTGTGGATGATTAGCTTACTAACCTCTTATTTTGCATCCAAACACATTAAGTAAATTTTGGATTCCTGCAATATTACTGCTGCTGATTGTGAATCATGCTGCAGGGTCTCAAGAACTTCAGCAAAACAGCAAGAGATATGTTAAGTAGAATGCAGAAGATTGACAGTGATTATTATCCAGAGGTATGTGTACTCTTGTTGCTTTTCCTGATCAATACTTGACCGCCAGACTGGGTAACAATTTATTCGTATGCTCAGACGCTGCATCAGATGTTTGTTGTGAATGCTGGTAGCGGTTTCAAGCTACTATGGAATTCTGTGAAAGGCTTTCTTGACCCTAAAACTGCTTCGAAGATACATGTGAGCATAAATGATCTCTGGAACTACATTATTTCCTTCTTTTGTCCAAATAAGTATAAATTTTCATGGAGCCTCAATTATAGATTTTGGGAACAAAGTTTCAGAACAAACTTCTGGAAGTAATAGATGCAAGGTATGTTTTCTATTATAACCATATTAAGCATAATTTCTCAATCATAATGATTATGTCCCATTAGCTTAGATTGTGTGTGTTTTCTTTTGATGTCTATAGCCAACTTCCTGAATTTTTGGGGGGGACATGCACTTGTGCTGCTGTGGGAGGATGCCTGAGGTCTAACAAAGGTCCATGGAATGATCCACATATTATGAAGGTAACTTCATCGATTTATTTCATAACCATATACCCATATAGCCACATCTGTGTTTATTATTGGGGTTGCTCGATGAGTTTCTGGTTTACAATGAGTTATGATTTAAGGTAATTTTGAAATGGGAAACATATAGTATGTATATTATATATTCTCAGAAAATACAAAGCCACTTTGAAACCAGCCAGATGGCTAAATTTGTCGGGTTTCCATTGTGCGATGGTTTTTGAGTTGGGGTGCCAAAATTGAACTCTGGCTATAGTTTGATGGCCAAAAATGATCTTTATCCTTTATTACATGCTCGTCAAGCGAACAAATCTTTCTTCAGATTAAATTAGAACATAAATTTTGTGCAATACATGTGATTCCCAACTGAACATAAGAATTAGATTGAATATCCTCCATCTAACTTCGTGATACGGCGTGGACGGCGAGAAGAGCGTAGAGGAGATCGGAGGAGCAGCTGTGATTGAGAATTAGAACGCAGAGGATATCGAGGCAAGGGTGGTGGGGGATTGTCGCCGGCGGCTACGGTTGAAGCGCTCGCAGCCACCGTTGAAGGTAAACCCCAACCCGCCTAGGGGAGGTTTATTTCCTTCTTCGATGATTACAAATCAATCTAAGGTGCCCTTTATATATCAGGTGCACTTTCCCCAAAGTTGCCTTTCCTAACAAACCTGGCCTTAGCCACGGTTAGGCCCATGTGGACGCCTAGGCCAGCGCCTATACTGGGGACCAACGAAGGAGTCCACAACACTTCCCTCCTCCCCAACAAACAGCTCGTCCGCGAGCTGAAACTGCGGATAGCGCTCCTTAAAGTCCTTGACAGGCTCCTAGGTGGCTTCAGCAGCTACACAGCCCTCCCACTGAACAAGAAATTCCCACTGTCCGTGGTTCAAACGAGCACGGACAACCTGCGCTGGAGTAGGTACCACTAGGCCAAGATGGGTGGCAGTGGCACTAGCTCAGCTGGAGGGTCGCCCTGGAACTTCTTCAAAAGCGCCACATGGAAGACATCATGGATCTGGGCCTTAGGAGGGAGGCGCAGACGATAAGCCACAGTACCCAAGAGCTCGGTGATCTGGTAAGGTCCAAAGTAACGGGGCCCAAGCTTGGAGGAGGAAGCCGCAGTGATGCCGACAGCTGTACACTGGTGGAGACGCAGCCAAACCCAGTCACTAACCGAGTATTCCACGGAACGCTGCTTCTGGTCCTGATGCTCGGTCATGACATCCTGGGCCAGCAGCAGTCGATCACAAATATCTTCCAAGAACGTGTCGCGGTCACGGAGCTGCTGGTCCACAGCAGCTACTCTGGCCGTGCCGGCTGTATAGGACAGCAAGGTTGGCGGGGCACGACCATAGACAACCTCAAAAGGAGTAGCACGGAGGGCGGACTGGAAAGAGGTGTTGAAGCAGTATTCCCGCCCATGGTAACCACTGCAGCCAAGAACGTGGACGATCACCTGCAAGACACCGCAAATACATGACAATGATGCGGTTAGTGACCTCAGACTGTCCGTCCGTTTGTGGATGGAAAGCGGAGCTGCGGAGCAACTTGACGCCTGCCAGATGGAACAGCTCCTCCCAGAAGCTACTAGTGAAGACGGGTCCCGATCACTCCCTATGGAGCATGGAAACCCATGAAACCAGGTAGCCGCTTTGGCGGGCGGTGCTGTCCATCGCTATGTGCCGCCACACCGGAGGGCCAGGACCAGGATGCCGTTGCCATCTCCGGCCTTGACGACCCCTACCCCGGCAATTGTGGCACCACCAGTGAAGACCCCAGCTGTCACGATTCCGGCAGTCTCTTCACCAGCTTCACCAATGCAGGAGATCAACCCTGCACCAACATTCGCGGACATGGTGCCTTTGTCGCTGCCTCTACGAGCCGCAGCACCGATCCCTCGAGCAGGGTCGTGGCTGTTTGCATGCGCGGATTCCCCGCCGGCTCAGCAGCAGGCCTTCAAAGCTCCATCAGCAGCTTCGAGTATGCCGCCCTGCTCTGCTACGCCCATAGCAGGGGTGGCTGCTCGTGGAGGGCACCATCGACTCCACGTGCAGGCGCTCCATGGATTCGAGCCAGGCGGATTAGATTTCGGGCAGATCAGATGGAGCAGCCAGGTTTGGCACCTTGAGGAGGAAGGTATGGATCGTGCACCATGCAGAAGCAGATTCCATGGGACGGAGTTGATTTTGGGGAGCCATATGACTTCTGCCTCGACTACAACTGCAACAATCTTCTCTGGACTGCAAGGTCTTCCGCTCCAGCAATCGCCATAGCTCGAGGACGAGGTGTCTTGGAGGGGTGGAGAAGTGTTATGGCAGGCGGAGCCAGCCCAGGGAGCCCACACGGCGCTGTAGCGCGTGAACAGTGCTGCGTGAACAGTACCAGATCTGTTTAGAATAGATTAGATTAGATTGATTTGGTTTGTTAGGAAAGGAATAAGATAGATTGATTCAGTTAGGATATTACTTAGGGGTCAAGTAAGTTGTCTCTATAAAAGGGACCGTCATGTATCAGTTAGAGGCGAGCAAGAAGAAATCCTAAGATAGTCCCCAAGAAAGGGCGGCTATCCGGGGTCTCTCTGCTAATCCATCTATCCGTAGCCTTTTCATATCACTTCGGTAGAATTCTACTACTGTATTTGGTACATGTTGTCATACCTTGTCTTTTCCATGCACCATCTGACACCTATAGTACTTTGTGTGTTTGATTGTAGCTTGCACATAACAAGGAAGCAAAATTTACAAGACATACCAGACGTTTATCCGAGATTGAGCAAAGGATGAGTTCATTTGCTAGGTTACATCTTTTGAAGGTAAACTCTGCACTGCCCTACTCATTGAATCATGCTAAATTCTTTAATATGGATGAAACCTTCTGCTCCATCAGTTACGGTTATTCTAGCAACTAATTACTGTTGTGTTTTCTTTTCTTTTTTTCTCTCGAATGACAGAGTAGAAACAGTGACACGTCAACTGTGGAGTCAGGGTCTGAAATTGATGATCTTGGTTCTCCGATGATGAGAAGCACAGTGGGGTGTAGTCGATTGGCCCCAGTTCGTGAAGAGGTGATATTTTAAGCTCTGACAATGTAGCCAAGTAGCTTAACCTTGTCGGATTGTCCTACTTTTAAGTCTTTCTTGTGTGTACTGAACCTTATGTTTTACATAGATTCAGATGAGAGCTCGAGACTCTGCAGCTTATTACAGCTGTGACGATCACTTTGTTGTGGTGGACAAAACGGTTGACTATGGTCGAGGAGGATCAATGTCAGATAAAACCAGTGCTTCAGAAGTAAAAACTCAAGTTCGGCCACTGGATGCTAGCACAGCAGCACACATGGCTGGTATGCTCATTGATTTTTCTGAAATGTAAATTTCTGTAATATTATGAATGTGCAATTTATTCTTTTCCCAGGCATTTAACTATTTTTTAAAGAAGGAATAGTGAGCTCCTAAGTACATGTAAAATGTTAGCTTTACATTTCATGCACGCTATGGTATATGTCGAACTATTAAGAAACCTCAGCGACCAGCTCAACAGTAATAGTTCAAGTGACTAAGGTTCAGTTGTTAGAATAATCTACTGCTTCCTTGTGTGAACACACAGCAAGGGAAGGCGGCGCCAAAAAGTCCCCCTGCTGTGGTACTGTAGCCACTGTCATAGGCACGCGCCGAACGGCTCATCTGCCACACTGTAACCACATACAGGGACAGGCGCAGAAGTCAGTCCTGCTGTGTTATCTAGTTACTGTTACAGCATGTGCGCTGTATAAGGACTAGATGGATAGAGTTGTATAAATAGACTACCACGGCAACTCAGTAAAGAGAGTTCAGATTTGTCATCTCCTATACAGGGCTTCGGTCAACGCTGGTGTCTTGTACTGTGTGTGTATGCTCTGTTCTCCCTCTTTTTCAACCTCGAGCCATAGTGTGTGGGGACGGACAACGCTTGTTTGTGGTCGGCTTAGCTAGTGGGTGCTCGGCAAGACTGGTGAGTGGTTCACTTACCTGAACCGGTGATCATGTGGGCTAACAAGTGGTATCAGAGCCGTACAAGCGTCGTCGCCAGACTAACCGCTGGTGATGACGGACGGTTCGGAGATGGGCGGCAATGATGCGCGGCACTGCTGTGGTTTTCCGATCCACGACCGGAGGTCGTTGTTCGCCGCAGTCTTGGGGAGGTCAACGACACCAGTTGGCCGACGCTGACTCGCACCAACTATGGAGAGTGGTCGGTGACCATGAAGGTCAAGCTTAGAGCTCGACGGCTCTGGAATGCTGTTGACAAGGGCATCGACAATGAGAAAGATGACATGTCAGCGTTGGAGGCTATCCTCGCTGCTGTACCGGCGGAGTACAGGGAGCCGTTGGGGGCGAAGAGCTCGGCTAAGGAGGCGTGGGAGGCTATTGCGGCGATGCGCGTCGGTTCCGACCGCGCAAAGAAGGCGACGGCCCAGCTTCTAAAGCATGAGTACGCCAACCTCAAGTTCAAGGATGGTGAAACGGTGGAGGACTTCGCCTCTCACGCGTCAGAGACGCCATCGCCAAAGTCAAGAGCCATGGCGTCACCATCAACGAAAAGGAGGCGGTCTCCAAGTACCTCCACTCCGTGCCGGCAAAGTACATCCAGATCGTTCTCTCCATAGAGACGATGCTGGACTTATCCACCCTCACCATTGAGGATGTGATAGGCTATCTGCGGGCGGTGGACGAGCACCTGGAGCAGGCGACAGCAACGAATGACAGCGGCAAACTGCTGCTGACGGAAGAGGAGTGGGTTGCTCGGAGGAACTCTGGGGAGGCAGCCTCCCCCAGCCGCGGTGGCGATGGCAAGCGCCGCGGCAAGGCTTCTTCGGAGAAGAAGAAGCAGGTCGACCCTAACGCCTGTCGGCGCTGCGAGAAGATGGGCCATTGGGCACGGAAGTGCCTAAATCGCAAGCAGGAGAAGAAGGCTAAGGCTCCTCTGGCGCAAGCTGATGATGAGGATGATGCCACTATCCTGATGGCGACGTTCTGTGCACTGCACGACGTTGAGCCCGAGGAGAAGGAAGAGACGACGACGGTGGAAGGACCTGGGAAGGCTTTGAAGACTGTCAACCTCGACGAACCACGCGCCCAAGTCCACCTCGGACGTGTGGGCGCCGATCAAGAGCAGCGGTGGTATCTGGACTCTGGTGCCAACAACCACATGACGGGCTCCAAGGCATCCTTCTTCGAGCTCGACGACGATGTTACCAGTACGGTGAAGTTTGGTGACGGCTCAAAGGTGGCTATCCAAGGGCGCGGCACCATCATCTTCAGGTGCCAGAACGGGGAGCACCGCGCACTAACGGAAGTATATTACATCCCGCAATTGCGCGTTCGGCATCATCGGATTGGTCACCGGATGAGCGCGGTGATAGCGAAACTCTTGATCAAGGACGGAGTCCTTAGGATCAGGAACCGGGAGCAGCGACTTCTTGCCAAGGTGAAGAGGTCTCTAAACCGGTTGTACCTGCTCGACCTGAAGGTAGAGCAGCCGGTGTGCCTAGCGGCAAGGCACACCGAGGAACCGTGGATGTGGCATGCTCGGTTCGGACATCTCAGCTTCGACGCGCTTGGTCGGCTGGAGAAGATGGTCCGAGGGCTACCCCACATCAAGCACGGAGGCGAAGTGCGTCGACAATACTGGCCCGGCCGGAAGCAAAGGAGGCTACCATTCCCAAAGGCGGCCAAGTATCGCGCGAAGGACGCTCTCGAGCTCGTCCACAGCGACATCTACGGGCCGATCACGCTAGCTACAAACGGTGGTTGACGGTACTTCCTCCTGCTCGTGGATGATTGCAGTCGCTACATGTGGCTGCAACTCCTGACAAGCAAAGACGAAGCGGCGGTGGCGATCAAGAAGTTCAAGATGCGCGCGGAGGCCGAGAGCGGCAAGAAGCTCCGCGTGCTGAGGGCTGATCGCGGCGGCGAATTCACTTCGGTGGAGTTCGCTGCGTACTGCGCGGATCAGGGTGTGGTGCAACACCGCGCCGTACTCGCCACAACAGAATGGCGTGGTGGAGCGACGGAACCAGACGGTGGTCGGCATGGCCCGATCCATGATGAAGGCCAAAAGCATGCCGGCAAGGTTCTGGGGTGAGGCAGTGACCACGGCGGTGTTCATCCTCAACCGCGCTCCGACCAAAGCCCTAATGGATAAGATGTCGTTCGAAGCTTGGTATGGGCGCAAGCCGAGCGTGTCCTTCCTCCGAACATTCGGCTGCATCGGCCACGTCAGGAAGACAAAGCCGATCCTCACCAAGCTGGAGGACCGGAGCACACCGATGGTGTTCCTGGGCTACGCGGAGGGTACCAAGGCGTACCGGCTCTACGACCCACGCGGAGACAAGGTGCTTGTCTCGCGTGACGTCGTGTTCGACGAGAAGGCGGCTTGGGACTGGAGCAGTCCGAGCACGGAGAAAGCTGGCGGCTTCACCAACACCTTCGTCGTCGAGCATTTGGTCATCCACGGTGGTGGAGACGCTGGGGAAGAGGTGCCGAGCACTCCGGGAGGAGTGCCGAGCACTCCAGCGATAGAGCCGAGCACTTCTGGGGCAGTGCCGAGCACTCCGGGAGAGATGCCGAGCACGCCAAGAGTGGTGCCGGGAGGTTCTGCAGTGGTGGCGACCACTACAGGACAGGTGCCGAGCACTCCTGTGGCATAGCCAAGAGGTCTTCCAGTGGTGCCAACCACTCCATGACTGAGGCTGAGAACTCCTATAGTGGTGCCGAGCACTGCAGGAGTAGTGACGAGTTGTCCAGAAGTAGTGCCAAGCACTGCAACCAGGGTGCCGAGCACTCCAGGTGCTGTGCTGAGTACTCCGGCGGAACAGGGAACTCCATCGACGCTGATCGAGTTCGCCTCACCTCCAAGTGACATCACTGAGTTCGTGGATGTCTTCCACGAAGGTGAGGAGGTGCGGTTCCGCAAGCTGGACGACATCGTCGGCGGCATAGGACCCTCAGGACTGGCTGGTCGGCTGCTCAATGACGCAAAGCTGCTGCTCATCGGTCTGGAGGAACCACCCACGCTCACGCTTCTTGAAAGCGGCGCGTAAAATCGGCGACGGGTGATGCTGGAGGAGATGAAGGCGATCGAGGAAAACCAGACATGGCAGCTCGTCGATCCACCTCCAGGATGCTGTCCGATCAGCCTGAAGTGGGTGTACAAGGTCAAGCGGGACGAGCTCGGCGCCATTGTCAAGCACAAGGCGCGCCTCGTCGCCCGAGGCTTTGTTCAACGCGAGGGCATAGACTTCGAGGAGGTCTTTGCGCCAGTAGCGCGCATGGAGTCGGTCCATTTGCTACTAGCCTTGGTAGCAGCAAATGATGGCGCGTCCATCACTTGGACATTAAATCGGCCTTCCTCAACGGCGAACTGACGGAGACGGTCTTCGTCAGGCAACCTCCAGGTTTCGCCATCAAGGGAGAGGAGCACAGGGTGCTCCAACTGCGCAAGGCACTCTACGGGCTGCGACAGACCCCACGAGCATGGAACGCCAAGCTTGACGCCACGCTGGGCGAGCTTGGCTTTCAGCGGTGCGCAACCAAGCATGCGCTCTACTACGCGGCGACGGGGGAAGGAGGAGCTCGTCGTCGGCGTGTATGTGGATGACTTGATCGTCACCGGCGCGCGCACGGAGGACATCAACAGCTTTAAGCGCGAGATGGCGGCTCGTTTTCGAATGAGCGATCTCGGCGCACTCTCCTACTACCTCGGCATCGAGGTGAGACAGGGGAAGGAGGAACTCACGCTCGGTCAGAGCGCGTATGCCTCTAAGCTGTTGGAACGGAGCGGCATGGCTGAGTGCAAGTCATGCGTGACTCCGATGGAGGAGCGGCTCAAGCTGACGAAGGCCAGCACCGTGGCGAAGGTGGATGCAACACTCTACCGGAGCATCGTCGGCGGTCTGCGCTACCTAGTCCACACGAGGCCAGACATTGCGTTCGCCGTGGGCTACGTCAGTCGCTTCATGGAGGATCCCAGAGAGGATCACTGGGCTGAGGTGAAGCGGCTACTACGCTACGTCAAGGGGACGGTAGATCATGGGATCATCTTTCCAAAGACCGGCGGGAGTAGGTTGCAACTCACTGTGTTCAGCGATGCAGACATGGCGGGGGACATCGACGGACGACGGAGCACCTCTGGCGTGCTCGTCTTCTTCGGGTCGGCCCCAATTTCATGGCTGTCGCTGAAACAGAAGGTGGTGGCGCTATCTACGTGTGAGGCAGAGTACGTAGCGGCGGCCATAGCGGCGTGCCAAGTTGTGTGGCTGCGTCGGCTGCTGGGCGAGCTGACCAGCATGGAAGCTCACCCACCAGCACTGATGGTGGACAACCAGCCCGCCATCGCCCTCGCGAAGAATCCGGTTCTGCACAACCGGAGCAAACACATCGACGTGAAGTTTCACTTCCTCAGGAACTGTGTCGATGGAGGGCAATCGTCATCGAGTTCGTCGAAACTGGTCGGCACCTCGCGACGTCCTCACCAAGCCGCTTGGACGTCTTCGACTCATGGAGCTGAAGGAGATGATCGGCATGGGGGTACAAGGGATAGCAGTAGGATTAAGGGAAGAATTGTTAGAATAATCTATTGCTTCCTTGTGTGAACACACAGCAAGGGAAGGCGGCGCCGAAAAGGCCCCTATTTGTGTAATCAGAGTCATTGTCATAGGCGGCAAAAGCGCCGAACGGCTCACCCGCCACACTATAGAACCACATGCATGGACAGGCGCAGGTCGGGTCTTCTTGTGTTATCTAGTTCTTTATTAAAGACATGTCTGTTTGTACTAGGACTAGATGGATAGAGTTGTATAAATAGACTATCACGGCAACTCAGTAAAGAGAGTTCAGATTTGCCATCTCTCATACAGTGCTTCGGCCAACACTGGTGTCTTGTACTGTGTGTGTATGCTTTGTTCTTCCTCTTTTTCAACCTCGAGTCATAGTGTGTGGGGACGGACAACGCTTGTTCGTGGTCGGCTTAGCTAGTGGGTGCTTGGCAAGACTGGTGAGTGGTTCACTCACCTAAGCCGGTGATCCTGTGGGTTAACATCAGTAACCTAGGATAGCACGTTGTTCAAGTGTTTTATGCAAGGTATCAAGTCGTCCAACTAATCATGATTAGTCAGGCTTATCAGTGGCATGGCGATCGGTTATGCCCTACTAAAAAAAAGGACGTACCTAGTGCAGAGAGCTCCCGCTCTGTGTGGGGTCTGGGGAAGGGTGTTAGTGGCAAGCCTTACCCTCGCCTGTGCAATGCGAGGAGACCGCAACTCGAACCCGGGACCTTCCGGTCACAGGCGGTAAGACTACCGCTTGCACCAAGATCGGTTATGCACTACTATTAGTCAAAATTAGTTGCGATTAGTCTGGCCGATCAGTAGTACCTAAACTGTTGCATGGTGACTAGGATTGGCTCAATGATTTGAAAACATTGAGTAATATATTTATCACTATAGAACAAACTGTTGCATTTGTTCTGTTGAGTTTATCTACTGACCATATCTTTACTCTCTCTAGGTCCCTCAAGTAACAGACGAGGTACAGTAGTACCTAAAGAGGTTTCAGATGAAGGAGCATTCCATTGCTTTGTCAGGCTACTTCTGGCTTTTATTGTCAAAGTCTTCGCCTTCTTTCACATAGTATATAGTCAGCAGGAGACGAGGGCCAACAACCCACTACCTCTAGCCGAACCAGAACCGATTTCTGACGATCATCCGGCAGTAGAGGCTTTCAATGTAGACCACATCAGTCCTGTCATAGAGCGCCTTCAGAGACTTGAAGGGAAGGTCGATGAGCTTGGCAGCAAGCCCCCAGCGATTCCTATGGAGAAAGAACGATCCCTCTTGGATTCATGGAATAGGATAAAATGTATTGAATCTGACCTGGAGCAAACAAAGAAGGTAAGTCGCCATTACATATGTCAGTGTATCTCCATTTCTAACTGCTGAAGGCATTAGTAATTAGAACCCATACAATAATTAGGGAATATTTGCATTTCCTAATTAAATGTACACGGTGGTAGCATCAATTTTAGATTGTTAAACATGGTACAAGCGGAAATGAAGGCATTTTAAATGTTGAAATGCAAGTGTTGAAACATTTTTGGACACAAGGCAACTAAAACTCTTCTTGTTTTTAATAAATGATAAAAAGAAGTGGAGGAATATAGCATTCTCATGCATCCGTGAGAACAGGTGGTTGAAGACTGTTCAGAGAAATCGATATCTAAACTTGCTGCCAATGTCAAATGAAAATAAGAGAACCCCCCTTCTTTTTGTCAGGTGCTGCAAGCCACGGTGATGAAGCAATTGGAAATCGCTGAGTCGCTAGAGGAAGTGATTAGATCGAACCTACGTGTAAGATAAGCTACTAGGCTCTTTTCTGTCTTCAAACCTGGATTGCAATGTAGTTACACTGTTGGTCTCACTATCTTGTCCATCATGCAGAGACGAAGATTCTGTGCGTAATAAGGAATCAGCACTGCTGAAGTAACAACATACTTTATCATGGGGTTGAAGTCAAGGGTACATGTGGCGGAGAAAAGTATGCACAAGAATTCGATGGGTGATGTGAAGGCCGACCAGTCAGTTTTCACATTACTGGCACAAAAGATGGTGACCACTGATAGTGAAAAAATCGGTCCCCTTTTTCATATTTTTACTTGTGACCCTAAGAAGCCTATGCATTTTTCATGTTAACAGATGATGTTAGGATGGATGGCAAGGGCTAGAAAAATAGAAGAGATAGAAATGTGGAAAGTAGGTGGTACAGATATGAGGCACAGTGTGCCTGAACAAGTGCGCATATGGTGATATAAACGTGCGCATTTATGTGATCTTTGCACAGAATTGTGCGATATTTCTTATGAATCATAGGAAGGAACGTGTCAGGGCGACTCAATCTGCAGACGTGGAGAAGCGCGGGAACGATGAAGTTGCGTTATCAGGATGGGCTCGCAAGCAATCGTAGGCCTAGGTCCAAGAAGCCTAACGTCACTGTATTTGGGCCGGAATGGATTCATTGCGTGCTAAGATCCGCTTGCGTGCGGCTACTTAAGTCCTAGGCGCCGTGTATCGTGAATCAAGTTGTATGAACTAATAATCCTTTCGAAAACTGAAGAAGCCGTCCTCCCTACTCCCGTCTCTTGCATCTCCTTTCTCTGCTTCTCCTCCACGAATCCACTGCTAACATACACGAGATCGACCACGACCATTTTACACGCATCCAGCAGCAACGAGGCACCATGGATCCGAGCATTAAGTTGGTCCTCAACGAGTTGAAGGCGAGATCGCGCTTGGCGGTCGTTTCGCCGAGTTGGAGCAAGCCAACAAGGTGCTCGACGATTGGCATCCAAGGGTTGATGCCACCATGGACGACCTTCTTCTGGAGATCGGCGCTCTGCGCAAGACGATGCATCAAGTGGTTCTCGTTGCAGGAGCCCCATCGGTGGGCATCCTCACCAAGCCTGGGATGGCGCGGCGTCCTCATCTGTCAGCAACCTAGCCATTGGCCCTGATGGGCACCGCGTAGCATCGCATCACTGGGAGCTCGAGGCTGAAAGCCCTATGTTAACCTTCTACTCTAGTGCTGTGATTGAGAAATGTTAGTTCACATCTCATTTCCTCAAAAAAGGTTAGTTCATATATAAGGTGGAGCAAGATGGCACTCAAGGTAATGGAGATGGCCACATGATGATGATTAAGTGCTCCAACTTTGAACAAGAAGAAAGAGAAAAATAAAATTCTATGGGCTTAAGGCAAACGTATGAATAGGGATTTTGTTTTATCGGTCAAGACATAATAGAGTGCATGATCAGGGATAGATGGATGTACCATTAAGAGGGGAGCTCTAAATAGACAATTCGGCATCTAGTGCCACTAGGTGTTAGAATACTTTGTATATGCATTTAGGCACAGTGACACTCGGAGAGCCAGCGCAAACGTTTATTATGAGAAATACTTTTAAAAAGCTAACTTGGCTCTAACAGGTTTGTGAAAACATTTGAGAATTAGCTCGCTTGAAAGGAGGCGCTTGAGTTCTATCGGTGCAGCTGTTCAGCGTGCACCGGTCGCACACCGGTTTGGTGGCACCGGTTACGGCAGCGACGTTTTCATTGCGCGCAAGTCTCTGCCGAGCACCGTCGACTCCGGTGCGCACCGGTCAAAAGTGCATTGGTCACGGGTTCCAGAGAGCCTGCAAATTGGTCGCACGGGCATTCTGAGCATTGGTCGTCTCCGGTGCTAGCACCGGGGCTCACACCGGTGTGGGCATCCAGAGAGCATGTAAATCAACTACGCGGAGGCTTCTACACACCGGTCGAGTCCGGTGTGACATCGGTAACCACATCGGTGAGGGCGTCCAAAGAGGTTGTAAATCGCTCGCTGAACTTGATCGAGCACCGGTCGTCTCTGGTGCCATCACCGTGGTGGTCGCACCGGTCGTCTAATAGCGCTAACGGTCGAATTTTTTTAACGTTGAAACTAACCATTGGAAGGGCACTGGTCGTGTCCGGTTTGGCAACCGGTGCTATGGTTCACATGACCGGTGCCCCTGCAATCAGCCCAAAAAGTGCATAACGGTTGGCTCTCAAGTGGGGCTATAAATAGAGGGTATGGCCGGTCTTCGCCCCACCCTCTTGGACCTCCATTCAGTTGTGCAAACCCCTTGAGAGATGATGAACACAATCCACTCACTTGCATCACTTTGGAGTGAGACTGAGAGCCTCTAGTGCTTTTGCTTAATGATCTTGCATCTTGTGGCATTAGTTGGGTGAGTTGGGCTAGTGGTGCTCTTATTACTCTTGGTGATTGTCGTCACCTAGCCGGCCTAGAGTTTGTGGGATCGTTGAGCGGCTTTGGCGATTGTTCTTATCGATCGATTGTGATGGGTTCTTGTGCTTATTTCCCATGGGAGATTCACGAAAGCAACTCTAGAGAAATCGTGGTACAAAAGGTGCTCTCTAGTGTGGTTCTTACGATGTCCTAGTGAGGGCTTGGCGTGATGCCAATTAACGTATGAACCACCTAGTTTAGACTTGCTACAACGTGAACATAGGTTGCCGACAAACAATTGAACCACGAGGACAAATCTTGGTGTTCATATTGTCTCTTGCCCCTGTTTGGTATAAAGCTCTATTCTTGTAATTCAATTCATAGAGTAGCTTGTAGAGTTGTAGTTGTAACTAATTGCAACTAACTCTCTAGTTAGCTTTCTAGCTTAGTTGTGTAGTTGCTAGTGTGTGATTGTGTGAAATCAATCTAGAGATCATAGCAACTCGAATTGTATACGAGGCTTACGATGAAATATAGCTAGAGCAATAGTTGCGTAACCTCACCAGCTGCCTCTGCAAATCTATTCACTAGCAGCTTCGCGGGCCTGGAAAGCGAAGAATCTAGGGGTGTTCCAGAATCAACCGATATTATAACTGTTGACATGTGTTGGCGGCTTGGTGCGCTGGCGTTGCAGAGGAACGATGAAGCTTCGTGCCTGGATATGGTTGACCTGTATTATAACTGTTGACAGTGATTTTACGATCTCGCGGGGGAAAGCACACAATAATTTGGGCACGTCCTCTCCTGAGTGAAATGATCTGGATTCAGACATTCAGAGTAGTAGTCAGCGGCACTGCAGTAAACAGGGAAATCGTTGCGTTGTATGATTGTGGTATGACGTTGTATTGTAAATTTTGATGATAATATCGGTGCGTGATTGCACTGGCCACTGGATTGTTCATCAGTCAAATCATATATTGATCTTTGCCCCCCTTTTGACGCTTGGATCTTGACTGAAACGGAGCGGTTTGTCGGAGGTTCAGTTTACATCTCAGCACGCTACCACCCGCCAGATGTACCGTACTATACTACGTACTACATCTGAGTCTGATTCAGGTGTTGCTTGGGACAGACTTGGTTGATCACGCACTCTGTTCCAAAGCCTGATTAGAGGAGCTCGTGACTCGTGAGGCAGGCCTTTTTCTAGTAGCATGTTGCTCGTGCCTTCTGGAACTCTGATGTACTAGGAGCACCATTCTTCAGGGCAAGTGGCACTGAAAGGGGTGCTGGATAATGAGCCAGCTGGATTTTCCTTTTTTTAGTTTTCTTTGAAATCGATATATTCTTACTTATTGTAGTCACCAAATTTTCAAACCGTGTTTAACCAGTGGAGCCAAAGCCAAAATTCATTTGGAATCAATTAATCTTGATTCGAATAAAAGAAAAACAAGCACAATCAGAGTAATCTTGAACTAGCTTTTCGGCCAGCCCCAACATGTGAACGTCGTATCCGGCAAATCACAAGCAGCGCGCGACGCCACTGGCTGGCTTCGCTTCTCCCGTAGAGGACGGACGCTGCGAAGCTGCTTCGTGCGCTCGCCACTGGAAGTCAACGGGTCCATCGGATCATCTGGGTACCCTAAATCCTGGAACCGTAATGAACTCGAGGTCGCGCGCGGTACACGCCGGCGTGTGGGCTGTGGCTGGCTGGCTGCTTCCATTCCATTTCCATGCAAATGGAGCAAGAAAATGGTTTGGTGACGTGTGCGTTCTAGAAGAGGAAGCAGTAGAAGCTTTCGCTGATGCTGATGACAACTACGCTTGTTTTACTTTTACATGTAAAAAATAATACCGGGAGCGCCCACTACTCCGGTAGTGATGGCTGATGATGGCTGCAGCTGCAGCGATCAAGGCCTTGGTTTATCCGGGCGGCATAGTATAATCGTACGGTCTATTCCTCAGACAAAAACTTGATCTCCCTGACACCATCTGGATCTGGGCTGGCACACTGCCATTGCGTGGGAACCGGGAAACGGTCGCCGTCTGACCATCTGATCTGATTGACAGCGTCCTTTTAGGTTATAAGTCGTACTTTTACGGTCAACTAACAATATATCTTTTCATTTAATGAACGGTATTTTTCTATCATAATAAATTAGTCCACAGTAGTTTCAGTCATGACTTATCAGCCAAACGAACGGGGCAAGCAACCGTACGAACGGCTTAGGCATGCTCCGGTTCTCTAATGCAAGTGATGGTTACAGAAAATACTAGAGTATGCTACTGTAGCCCCCCGTCGGCGAAAGGTCGCCATCACTTGCATTGCGTTATTAGAGAACTGGAGCCGTGCCTGGCTGCCTGGCTGCCAATTCTTGAAACCTAGGAGTATTCCTAGTACTAATGCCGTGACCAACCAATCAGTCGCAACAGCTGTTTTTGTAAAGTTCGTCCCCCGGCCGTCTTCTTCCTCGACCCTGGCTTTTTTTCGCGAGGAGCTTCGGAGAAAGAACAGGGACGTTTGGATCCCTTGCTGCCCTTGCCTAGCCTGGCTGGGCAAACACAGCGGCGTTTGGTTGGCTTGCTCGCTGCTTCGGTTCTTGTGCTGTCAAACTTTTTCTTCACCAAGTCAGGCAAGCCAAATCCGCGTCGGTCGTTCCGTGGCATTTGCTTTGTCAGTTTGCAGTCAGAAAACGCACAAAAGGACTCTCGAGACGGAGGTTGCACGCTTGGCTTGGATTGCACCAAACAAAAAGAGGGAAAAAGGAGTTCCGTTTCCATCCCAATTTGTTTTCTTGAAACGATGATCCATCCCAACTTGTCACTTGAAGGAGAGGTCCCGTTTGGTTCCACCTGCTAATGTTTAGTAGCCTTTAAAATTTAGTGACCTCTTCGGTTTGGTTTCACTTGCTAGAGCAACTGTTTCATATACACTCTAGTCACTTTTACCTCTGGTGATTAAAAGTCAATAAATTTTAGTGACCCTTAAATTTTAGCGGGGTGTTTGGCATTTTAGCGATCAAAAGTAACTAAAGTTTAGTCACTAAAAATTTTAAGGCATTTTCTTTGTCAGTTGAAACCCAGAAAAACGATTCACAAAAGCTTATTCAAATTAGGTAACCAATCCGACCTGCACGCTTCCTTGGATCCGTTCCCCCAAACGAAAAGAGGCCTAAAAGGAGTTCCGTTTTCCAAACAGGCCGCTTGCATTGGGAAAGGAAGATGAATTAAACCTGCAAATCCTCAATGGAAACCGAAGGATTGCCAAGATACATACAAAGGAATATTCACATCGCATGGAATTCCTGGGGGAGTTACCTCTCCCATCACGAGCAAACACACACACACACGCATACTAGATTTCCTCAACATCTGTTGCAAAATCTCCCCTTTGGACAGATTATTAACCTTTTCTCACTCTGCATGCTACACCCAATCCTCAAAAAAAAAACGGAAAAGATAAGACTGAGAGAGAACAAAAAGGTAAAAAGAAAGCAGAAAGATTTGGGGAACTAAACGCTAGTCCTGCATATAGACTAGAAACCACTCCTTCGCTAGTAGTAGAAAGGACAGAGAGAGAAGGTAGCAAGAAGAGCACCATACGTGCGTGTGCGTGTGTATGTAGAGGCAGGAGGATCGGAGGAACCCGGCGGTGGCGATGAGGGGCAGCCGCCGCGCGCCTAGCGGAGGGCGCGCGCGAGGCCGGCGAGGATGCGGGAGAGTCCGAGGCGGAAGCGGACGACGGCACCGTGGGAGTAGGGCGCGCAGTCGCGGCAGACGGTCTCCATGGCCTCGACGAAGAGGCTGAGGCTGCGCACCGGCGGCACGTACAGCGTCAG